AGAGAAAGACAGAGGCAGAGAGAGAAAGACAGAGAGAGAGAGAGAGAGAGAGAGAGAGAGAGAGAGAGAGAGAGAGAGAGAAGTTGTGATTGTGATGTCTGGAAAGCCTTTTCAGTAGGCCCCATCCAGCATGAGGAGTGAAATATCAATGAAAATTAGGCGAAAGGGTAAGGATAACAGAACTGAGGAGAACCCTCTGAGAAGCTAGAGCTGCAAAAGCAAATGCCAAGAGGCAATGTGGAGTTTGAAGGGAAATGCAGAGAAGCCAGGGTGGGTGCAGGATGAAAGGTGTCCTTCGGTGGCTTGTGAGGGGTAGCTGGTACCCATGGGGCTCGAGGCTGGAGAGGTCAACTTCTGTGCCTTGAAGCCTTCTGTGCCATTGGTTACAGATTGAATCTTCATCTTCTGTTCAGTCTGCACACAGTGCAATCTGATTAATGAACAGAAATTAATTGGCTACGTACCAAATTCCAGGTAGTAATATTAATAGAAAACATTGAGTCCTTAATATATATCAGGTATTATAAAACATGCTTGCACAGGTTGACGTTATTTAATCCTTATGAAGTCAGGATTAATACTACCCCCAGCTTATGGATGAGGATATCTGAGGGCTCCCAAATGTAGGCAGCTTGTCTACCATTCCTCAGCTCACAGTATGCATTCCTATGACATAGCCTCAGAAGTAAAAAAGAAAAACATCATTTTGGCCAAGTTGTATCAAGGGAAGGCATTACAAAGATCCACTGAAGTTGAAAGAGAGGAGACACTGATCTCATCACGTCATGGGATGAATGTCAATGTCACATTGTCAGAAGAGCTGGAGGGATGGGAAATATTTTCACGGCCCTCTTTGGAAAAAGCAATTTGCCTCAAGATACCACGTGAAAAGGTCACTAGAAGGAGGGCTCACTGCTGCATCTGCCGCAGCAGCGCTGTGCAGGGCACAAACAGCAGGAATATGTGGCACCCACGCCCCCAGGAATTTTGCTTCGGGAAGATCCATGACTGTACACTACAAAGTATTTTTCTGGATGTACTGTATTTTCTAGAATAATTTGCTTTGCAAAGATCTTAGTACCGATGTGAATGTAGCTTGGTGCACAGTTAGTACTCATTCATTGAGGTATACAGGCTCTGGGCTACTGAGTCACGACGTAGCTGACGGTGGGAGGTTTGGGAACCGTGACATTTGCTTTGCAGTTGAGGACACCTAAGTCACCACTTCTCTCTAGCAGACAGCAGTAGGCTTGATCTTCCTGAGAATTATGGACGCGATCACTTCCTTGGGAGAACTTCTCTAGGAATGGCTGTCCTGGTTACAGCTGGGATTTCTGCGAGTGGTTGGACTCTCAGTATATTCCAGTAAATCTGAGCTCAGTTGCTTCCTTCACTTGTTAGTGTTCCATTAGTCAGGATGAGAAATTAGAAACTGTGGGAGAGGGGCAAGGGGATGGGGAGG